TGGAAGGTTCTCCCATCTCCACAGAGGAACTCTGGAGCTCTGTCAGAGTGACCATTGGGTTCTTGGTCACCTCCCTGACCAAGGCCCTTCTCCCCCGATTGCTCAGTTTGGCAGGGTGGCCAGCTCTAGGAAGAGTCTTGGTGGTTCCTCAGATCTGCGCCTCGGCACAATCCTGTCTCTGAGCTCTATGGACAATTCCGTCAACCTCATGGCTAGGTTTTTGCTCTGACATGCACTGTCAACTGTGGGACGTTATATAGACAGATGTGCCTTTACAAATCATGTCCAATCAATTGAACATAACACAGGTGGACTCCAATCAAGTTGTAGAAACATCTCAAGGATGATCAATGGAAACAGGATGTACCTGAGCTCAATTTTGAGTCTCATAGCAAAGGGTCTGAATACTTATGTCAATAAATCCATTTTAGAATAAGGCTGTAATGTAACAACATTTGGAAAAAGTCAAGGGGTCTGAATACTTTCCGAATGCACAGTATATATATATATATATATACAATGTGATTTTCTGGATTTTTGTTTTAGATTCCGTCTCTCACAGTTGAAGTGTACCTATGATAAAAATTACAGACCTCTACATGCTTTGTAAGTAGGAAAACCTGCAAAATCGGCAGTGTATCAAATACTTGTTCTCCCCACTGTATATATTATGATATATATATATATAGAGAGAGAGAGAGTACCAGTCAAAAGTTTGGACACACCTACTCAATCCAGGGTTTTTCTTAATTTTTACTATTTTCTACATTGTAGAATAATAGTGAAGACATCAACACTATGAAATAACACATACGGAATCATGTAGTAACCAAAAAAGTGTTAAACAAATGAAAATATATTTTATATTTGAGATGCTTCAAATAGCCACCCTTTGCCTTGATGACAGCTTTGCACACTCTTGGCATTCTCTCAACCAGCTTCATGGTGTACTCATCTGGAATGCATTTCAATTAACAGGTGTGCATTCCTAAAGGTTAATTTGTGGAATTTATTTCCTTCTTAATGCGTTTGAGACAATCAGTTGTGTTGTGACAAGGTAGGGGGGGGTATACAGAAGATAGCCCTATTTGGTAAAAGACCAAGTCCATATTATGGCAAGAACAGCTCAAATAAGCAAAGAGAAACGACAATCCATCATTACTTTAAGACATGAAGATCAGTCAATAAGGAACATTTCAAGAACTTTGAAAGTTTCTTCAAGTGCTGTCGCAAAAACCATCAAGCGCTATGATGAATCTGGCTCTCATGAGGACCGCCACAGGAATGGAAGACCCAGAGTTACCTCTGCTGCAGAGGATAAGTTCATTAGAGTTACCAGCCTCAGAAATTGCAGCCCAAATAAATGCTTCACAGAGTTCAAGTAACAGACACATCTCAACATCAACTGTTCAGAGGAGACTGTGTGAATCAGACCTTCATGGTCGGATTGCTGCAAAGAAACCACTACTAAAGCACACCAATAAGAAGAAGAGACTTGCTTGGGCCAAGAAACATGAGCAAAGGTTGTTAGACCGGTGGAAATGTGTCCTTTGGTCTGGAGTCCAAATTTGAGATTTTTGGTTAAAACCACTGTGTCTTTGTGAGACGCGGTGTGGGTGAACAGATTATCTCTTCATGTGTATTTCCCACTGTAAAGCATGGAGGAGGAGGAGGTGTTATGGTTTGGGGATACTTTGCTGGTGACACTGTCTGTGATTTATTTAGAATTCAAGGTACACTTAACCAGCATGGCTACCACAGCATTCTGCAGTGATACGCCATCCCATTTGGTTTGGCCTTAGTGGGACTATCATTTGTTTTTCAACAGGACAATGACCCAATACACCTCCAGGCTGTGTAAGGGCTATTTGTCCAAAAAGGAGAGTGATGGAGTGCTGCATCAGATGACCTGGCCTCTACAATCCCCCGACCTCAACCCAATTGAGATGGTTTGGGATGAGTCGGACGGCAGAGTGAAGGAAAAGCAGCCAACAAGTGCTCAGCATATGTGGGAACTCCTTCAAGACTGTTGGAAAAGCATTCCAGGTGAAGCTGGTTGAGAGAATGCCAAGAGTGTGCAAAGCTGTCATCAAGGCAAAGGGTGGCTACTTTGAAGAATCTCAAATATAAAATATATTTTGATTTGTTTAACACTTTTTTGGTTACTACATGATTCCTATGTGTTATTTCATAGTTTTGATGTCTTCACTATTATTCTACAATGTAGAAAATAGTACAAATAAAGAAAAACCTTTGAATGAGTAGGTGTGTCCAAACTTTTGACTGGTTGTGTATATATATATAGGCCTATATTATTATTGTTAGTCATATATATATATTTTCCCATATTTCCCTCAGCACCCCTGCTTCCAGCGGCTATGGAGATATGGTGTTTGTGCGGGATCTACAATGTTAAGTTAATGACAATGAGAATTTGCCAGCTCCAAGAAGGCAACCCTGACCCCTTCAATAGCGTCATCTCCCACGGGACACCATTGCGCTACTCCCCCAGGGCGCTCTATCCTCCGAAGGAATTCTATTGATCCCCAAGCACACCAGAAAAGGGGGTGAATTCGCGCGTATTTCTTTTTAACTTACATTCAAGACTGGTCGTTCCTATTGTAAATGAATGCATTAATAATAGTATGTGATATTTGACATGTTGCCTCACTTAACTTGCTTTCTGCCTCACTTAACTCCCTCCATATCCAAATATAACATTTAGCCTATAGGCATTATTTCTTAGTTGCTGCTGCCATATAAAGAAGGAAGGGCTCAGTAAACTCCCTCTGGGGCGGTCGGGTGGGTGTGTGCTCGAGGTCTGTCCAGCTTCTTTTCTGTTTACACCAGTACAGGCTCACTTCTTGGCGGCCTGCACGACCCGGCCTGCCAGCGGGGATTTACTGATTGGCGCTCTGCCCGGCCGCAAGCAGTCTAGTTCGCTCGGTTCTCACGACCTAAGCAACACAAAGGCATCTCTGAACTTAGACACGCAGGCACAAGGAACAAGGAACAGCCGCAGAGCCCACACACTGCCAACTAGTGTTTCAGTTATGCCTCTGTGCAGAAGCAGCCTTTTATCCATTGCTGGCTGGAAGTTTCAGAATGCCATTTTCGGAGAGTGTCATTCTTGGGGCACCGAGAGAAAAGTAAAAAAGAAACTACACAAATTAACAAAATACAAACCGCATGGTTATTGTTATCTACAGTTAAACGGTCAAACAGGCCTATGTGATAATAAATTACAACTTCTCATTATTAGACATGGAGAAGCTAAAAGGGAACATTTTACGCACGATGAGTTGTATTAGCAATTCAACTGGCAAAATAGGTATTCTAATATTATTATAGGCTATAGTGAAAATATATGTTTATTTACCTCGTAGTCCAAATGCTCAACATAAATAGTCAAAAAAATTGCTCGCAACACGTATTCATTCTATTATGGACATAAAATTGGTCTTTGCGCCCTATGTGCGGTGCGCTCGCACTGGCGTGAGTCGATTGGTGAACCTTTCTGACCAGCGGTAAAGGGGGCCCTCTGACTGCAAGTGGCTGACACACGCCGCCCGCCGCAGCAACACGTCCCACAGTTCCGGAGCGCACTCACTGGGGAAAGATACGTTTACATCCAGGGATAACATAGAGAGTGGCGGAGAGGGAGGGACAGAGAGAGAGAGAGAGAGAGAGAGAGAGAGACAGTTTGGATTGGCTGGAGAGATGAATGTGCTATTTTGTTTTATTCATAACTTATTTGGAGCATGAACCCATACTTCAAAAGGAAATTTCGAATTGAACATGTATTACGTCAATTCAAAGTCATGAGGTCCAGGAGAACTGCTTTGATCAATTCAACTCTCCCATCCAATTTACCCGCCAAGGCACTAAACTCCCCATGTTCCCTCGTTTTCCGCTATCCACTTAAGCCTACACGGGTTAACTGAACAATCGGTTGCACAAAAGGAAGCGAGGATCCTTCCATATTCTCATTTCAGCGAGGAAATCTGTTAGTGACATTAACCCCAAAGCGCATTTCCCAGGCTCATGAATAGGGGTTTAGACTTCTTAAAGATCCCGCTGCATACAGGATGAGACCCCTTTCAAACTTGTAATTACCTTTTTGCAAAAGAAAGAATACCCCCCCCCGCCATTGTCATTTCAACCCCATTTCAACTTCCCGCCACACTTAAGAAAAGTTGTAAACAACTGAAATGTCAGGACTTTTTACCATCCTATCTCACTAGGCCTATAACTACTAAGCCTGCACTGATATGAGCCTAGACCGTGACAAAAATTAGGCCTATATCTGATGTTCAAATGGCTATTCAACTTTTACACACAAGACTAAACAAGAAGATAGCCTACTTAATATTAACTTTTACACATAAGTATGTTCTAAGTGTAAAGTAACTAAGTACAAATACTTTGAAGCAGCCTACTACTTGACGTTTTGGGGGGTATCTGTACTTTACTATTTATATTTGACAACTTTTACTCCACTACATTCCTAAAGAAAATACGAACTTTTTACTCCCATACACTTTCCCTCACACCCAAAAGCACTGGTTACATTTCGAATGCTTAATAGGACAGGAAAATTGTCCAATTCACGCACTTATCAAGATAACATGTGGTCTTGCCTACTGCCTCTGATCTGGCTGACTCACTAAACACAAATGCTTGGTTTGTAAATTTTGTCTGTTGGATAGCCCTCGGCTATACATAGGCTACATAAAATAAAATAAACGTGCCCTCTGGTTTGCTTAATATAATGCATTATAAACGATTTATAGCGTTTACTTTTATGTTTGATACTTAAGTATATTTAAAACCAGATAGCCTACTGTTAGACTTTTACTCAAGTAGTTTTTTACACTTTGACTTTCACTTTTACTTAACATTTTCTATTAAGGGATCTTTACTTCCACTAAAGTATGACAATTGGGTACTTTTTTCACCACTGTAAGTGATATAGCAGTGATATCGAAGTGAAGACAAAATTGTTAATTTCTGACAACTGATTTATTAGGTAAATGGGCCACTGCCCAACATCAATTTCCAAACATAAAACGACAAACAATATAAAAACACACAGCTTTGGTATAACAATCAATATCAACTTTGTACAAAACTAAATCTTTCCATAAAAAGTACTTAATCACAAACATTTGAATAAATCTTCCATTGCATGGACACCATATTTATCACCAACATCCACATTTTGGAATCAGCCAATAACTTAAACAAACGTTTACCATGTCCAACAAATGAAACGATGTCCCCTAGAACGGAACTATTTACTTCATGAAAATAACTTTCATTATTGTAGTGTCCATTTCAACCAAACTACCAGGGTCGCCAAACAGCCTCAGTGCTCTCCAAACCAGTGCTGACACCGACAGGGCTGACGGCCTGAGAAACACCGACGAATGATGTCATCCCATGGACTGGGGATGATGCTGTTGGCGCAGAGCTGCGGTGGACGGGACTGGCGTTAACTGTCATAGGCACACCTGCGTTAGCATACAGAGGGATGACTGGGGTTGATGATGAGGCGAATGCAGGGTTGGGAATCAGGAAAGCAAACTGTCCGTCGGTGGCAGGCACAAGCTGGAACCCCCCGAAAACTTTAGGAGACAAGGATTCCACGGTGCTGAGTTTGGAACCCATAGAGACACTGTTGGGCAAGGTAGAAGGTAGCTGCACGTGAAGAGGCTGCGCAAGGTGAGCCTGTTGAGTTGGGGTTGACTGGGGGTAGTTCATGGAGATCATCTGGCCTAGGGAACCGGACAGGTGGTTGAGAAGCCGCGACCTCACCTCCGTGTTCACCCCCTCGCTGGTGGACAAGAAGTGAGTGACCTCATTCATGCATTCGTTGAATCCCGCCCGGTATTTACTGAGGACGGTAGTGTCTGCTGACAGCGCTGCTGAGGCAAAATAAAAAAGAGAACATTAGAAACCGTGTCTATTCGATGAAAATGTAAAAAAAAGTGTTTGCCAGATGTCAAATTAGATATTCGCATTTCAATTTACCAGTCATCTGCACACGCTGTAAATTCCGTAAGTGCTTCACTGTCATCTCCAGAATATCGGCTTTCTCCAATTTAGAATGTCTGGAACTCTGTGGATAAGAACATGGTAAAGGTAAGGAGTGTGCATTAATACAAAATAAAATTTCAGGAATAATGAACAAAACAGTGATTTTCAATTGTGAAATCACTTAGACTTACATCTTTTTTAAGTGCATCGAGGATGAGTGTCTTGAGTTGGCCAAGGCTTTCGTTTATCCTCGCTCTCCTACGTTTCTCCATGATGGGCTTTGAGGACTGCAAAATAAATATTTTTTACATTAATTGCATGTTTATGGATAATTCCGAGTGCAAGCCTTTCTTTATCTCACAAATACAATGTCGTTAGCCTACCTACAGTTTAATTGGCAACAACATTCGCCTAGTAGGTCTATGCTGAATATATCAGAAACGTTTTAAATCCATAGGCAGTTTTAGAAGTGTACCTTTCTATGCTCGCTGGCATTCTTGGGTTTGTCTGGAGTATGGGACCCATTTGCAGGTGTACCAGCAATAGGGGATGCCGTTTGCTTCTCCATGGTGTCGGCTGGCATTTTGGTTTAAATGACCTCCTCCGACAGATAGAAAAAGTATATCCTTTTGGAGACGTTGGAAAATATTTCTGCTTCTTTATGTTCAGATCAAATCGTAACCAGTGTGAACTATATCCTACGACAGTCACGCAGAAGTGAGCAAGTCCCACTGATCAGCTATATCACTTGGTATAACCGAATTGTCATCAGGTATAAGAGCTTGCGCGGTGCCAGGCTGCGTTGGGCAGGTCGAGTCTGCTCTGCTGCCGACACACGCCAGCGGTACTTATAGATAGTTCGCATGCTCCCAGTTCGTGTGAAACCCTCTCTGCATTCTTTCCCACACTCGTCTCAGCCAATGGGCGTAAGGACTCACCCATTGGGCGCGGGGCAGACCGCTGATTGGACAACACCCCCGCGGGCTGTCAGTCACGCGCTGCTCAATCCGCACTGGAGGGACAAACAACAAAGCGGCGAGTGCAGTCGGTCTGTCTGTGAAGTGATAAGGCGAATTGGGGGAATGTGCTGGCGGTTTACTTCCAACTTCTTCATACCCTTCACAAATGTATGCTTTTTGTGTTGACAAATATTCACGATGCTTAAAGATACTGTATTTTACAAAGCCTCATCATGCTTTTAATACTATGTTGCTATAAATAGCCTACCTTTGAAATAATGTTGCATGTCTATTTTTTTCAATCGTTTCTATAAGCCTATCCCAAATGTCGAAAATAAATACTTGTTTTTCTCAATGGTTGAAGGCAAGAATATAGCCTACATTCAAACAAGTGTGTGTGGGTTTATACTAAAGTACCCAATAAATACATTTTTACTATTTTAATATTCATGTCACTGACGCAAATGCATAAAATGCATTTATATTTTGATAAACATAAGGGTTGTAATAACTACATTAATACTTTAATGATATAGGTTAATATTTCAGTATAGCTGTTCACTTCGTCTTAACCTATTAATAATAATAATATTTAAAATATATATATATCAGCAGCTAGGCCTAATCATGAGATTCAGTTGCGCCTCAGAACAACAACTGTAATAGCACGCGAGGCTGTTTGGAGGGGCACGCAGTCAACCAATGGCAGGTGACCACTTTATGCAAATCTAACTTAGCTACGTCTTATTGGCTGTGTGAACATCCAAGTGTCAATCATTCCAGCGCGGGAGCTGTGAAGGGGAGGAGGCAGAGCGATGCGACATCTGTCCGCGTGCCAGTAGTACTGTGTGCGCCTGCTCCGTACACTTGAGCCTCCACTGAGCACGTGCCGAAACGGATTTCCCTTATTACAGCCTAGAGGGGGGCTTTTCCTTGGATCCTTGGGACGTCCCTACCCCATTGAAGTTGACGTTGAAAATAGTTCGGGTTAGGTAAGGGTTATGGTTAAGGTTAGGGTAAGGGTTATGGTTAGGGTTTAGTGTAGGGACGTCCCAAGGATCTCGGATAGCACTGACCCTTTTCCTCCCGAACTCGTTAATATTTTTGTATTTTTTTTATTTAACCTTTATTTAACCAGGTAAGCCAGTTGAGAACAAGTTCTCATTTACAACTGCGACCTGGCCAAGATAAAGCAAAGCAGTGCGATAAAAACAATACAGAGTTACATATGGGGTAAAACAAAACATAAAGTCAAAAAAATACAACAGAAAATATATATACAGTGTGTGCAAATGTAGCAAGTTATGTAGGTAAGGCAATAAATAGGCTATAGTGCAAAATAATTACAATTAGTATTAACACTGGAATGATATGATGTGCAAATAGAGATACTGGGGTGCAAATGAGCAAAATAAATAAAAATATGGGGATGAGGTAGTTGGGTGGGCTAATTTCAGATGGGCTGTGTACAGGTGAAGTGATCGGTAAGGTGCTCTGACAACTGATGCTTAAAGTTAGTGAGGGAGATAAGAGTCTCCAGCTTCAGAGATTTTTGCAATTTGTTCCAGTCATTGGCAGCAGAGAACTGGAAGGAATGGCGGCCAAAGGAGGTGTTGGCTTTGGGGATGACCAGTGAGATATACCTGCTGGAGCGCATACTATGGGTGGGTGTTGCTATGGTGACCAATGAGCTAAGATAAGGCAGGGATTTGCCTAGCAGTGATTTATAGATGGCCTGGAGCCAGTGGGTTTGGCGACGAATATGTAGTGAGGACCAGCCAACAAGAGCGTACAGGTCACAGTGGTGGGTAGTATATGGGGCTTTGGAGACAAAACGGATGGCACTGTGATAGACTACATCCAATTTGCTGAGTAGAGTGTTGGAGACTATTTTGTAAATGACATCGCCAAAGTCAAGGATCGGTAGGATAGTCAGTTTTACGAGGGCATGTTTGGCAGCATGAGTGAAGGAGGCTTTGTTGCGAAATAGGAAACCGATTCTAGATTTAACTTTGGATTGGAGATTCTAAATGTGAATCTGGAAGGAGAGTTTACAGTCTAACCAGACACCTAGGTATTTGTAGTTGTCCACATACTCTAGGTCAGACCTTCGAGAGTAGTGATTCTAGTCGGGTGGGCGGGTGCCAGCAGCGTTCGATTGAAGAGCATGCATTTAGTTTTACTAGTGTTTAAGAGCAGTTGGAGGCTACTGAAGGAGTGTTGTATGGCATTGAAGCTCATTTGGAGGTTTGTTAACACAGTGTCCAATGAAGGGCCAGATGTATACAAAATGGTGTCGTCTGCATAGAGGTGGATCTGAGAGTCACCAGCAGCAAGAGCGACATCATTGATATACACAGAGAAAAGAGTCGGCCCAATAATTGAACCCTGTGGCACCCCCATAGAGACTGCCATAGGTCCAGACAACAGGCCCTCCGATTTGACACATTGAACTCTATCTGAGAAGTAGTTAGTGAACCAGGCGAGGCAGTCATTTGAGAAACCAAGGTTATTTAGTCTGCTAATAAGAATGCGGTGGTTGACAGAGTCGAAAGCCTTGGCCAGGTCGATGAAGACGGCTGCACAGTACTGTCTATTATCAATCGCGGTTATAATATCGTTAATTCCTCTATGGAGAATGGAAGCCATTTGGCCTAGGCTACAAAACAATGCAGGTCACACAACACATTGAAAGCAGAAATATAATAACAGAAAATAATAATAATATCATGTAATAGCCTAACATAATAGCATAAGTAATATAACTTTTGAAATTTACTAGGAGAATGGGGTGAGAGCCTGAGTTTGAAGGAAAAGGGCTCCATCTAGTGACTAATTTCTTCTGGCTTCTCAAATCCAGAACTGACAACAGTGCCTTTTACCATAGATGTTCAGGGTTTTACTTCTCAAACGAAGAGCGTAATGAAATATCAACAGCTAGGCTATAGGCCTAATCATGGATGATTGGCATGAGAATAACTATAATGTGTTATTTTTTTAGCAAACATTTCTTAGATGGGGGGAGTACAGCATATTTTTGTGCATTCAATACTTATTGGTTACATAATGAAGTAATCAATCAAAAGTCGCAAGAGGGAAAGGAAGTAGCCTATATTTGATGTCGACAAGTAAGCCTATCACTTGTCTACAGTGTTTGTATACCACAGATGTATTTCTGACCAACTCTACAAGTGCTCAGAGAGGATGTATTTCTGACCAACTCTACAAGTGCTCAGAGAGGATGTATTTCTGACCAACTCTACAAGTGCTCAGAGAGGATGTATTTCTGACCAACTCTACAAGTGCTCAGAGAGGATGTATTTCTGACCAACTCTACAAGTGCTCAGAGAGGATGTATTTCTGACCAACTCTACAAGTGCTCAGAGAGGATGTATTTCTGACCAACTCTACAAGTGCTCAGAGAGGATGTATTTCTGACCAACTCTACAAGTGCTCAGAGAGGATGTATTTCTGACCAACTCTACAAGTGCTCAGAGAGGATGTATTTCTGACCAACTCTACAAGTGCTCAGAGAGGATGTATTTCTGACCAACTCTACAAGTGCTCAGAGAGGATGTATTTCTGACCAACTCTACAAGTGCTCAGAGAGGATGTATTTCTGACCAACTCTACAAGTGCTCAGAGAGGATGTATTTCTGCTTACATTGGCCACAAGGTGGCACAGTGTAGCCCAACTCACTAGTTGAATCATTAAAATTAGAATTGAAATGAAATGGTTTAAATAACTTTGTCTTCTGCTGCACTGGAAGAGGTTTAAAATCGTTTTTGTTAAAAGTCAATATGACATGACTCAACATTTGAATTATGGAAAAAGTAAGGTTGTATGCTTTATAATGGCAGAATGAAAGCTCACACATTCAGTACAGAAACAGCCATTTATCATTAAAGATGTATCAATCAATCATGAAGATAAACTCCCAATTTTCTCAACTATAACTTAAAATAGAAAACACATTTTACATAATGGAAGTAGCCTACTGTAGTACTTCCATAGAATGAAGTCACAGTTTCATATACAACAGATGATAAATACTGTATACCCACTAACAGGCCTCGATTCTTGTGGTTTTAACAGAGTAATGGGCAATCCCACGGTAACAGAGTGACACTGAGACTCAGATTTTTCACCTTGAAATGTATGTCAAACAAAAACCAATGATTGCAAAGTTAAACAAACCATATAAATTATTGCACAAGGACAACTTTTAACAATTTCCATAGAAAATGTTTCAAAAACACATTTACTTGAAGAACATTGCAGATGCAATGTTTGGTAACAGAATTACGGTTTGTGCTGTTTGTGCCGTCATTCTGTTACCAAACTTTGCATCTGCACTTTGCAATCATTGGTTTTTGTTTGACATAGATTTTTAAGTGAAAAAACTGAGTCTTATAGTGTCACTCTGTTACTGTGGAATTACCCTAATCTTAAAACCCCTGTCTGAGTCCATGATCCAGAGTTCACCGCAAGTTTATTGACAAGCACCAAATGTAATAAAAGTTTTTAAGCCTTAGTCCTGCATATGCTCTGGGCTGGTGTCATATCAGTCATTGTTCATGAGCTCTAGTCCTCGGTGGGTGAGCTTTGACAGAGCATGCTGGACACTTGTTTACCCG